GGCCCGTATGCTCGTACGTCCCCGCTGGGGAGGGAAGGGGAGTTGGATCCCTAGGGGAACGGTCCCCTCCACTGAACCCCGCCATGACAGAGGGGAGGGGAGCGATCCCCTCCCTGCACCCCAGCGAGGATGGTGTGAATGGTTTCCGAGGTATTGATCCAACGAACCCCAGTGCATACTGGGTTCGCGTGGAGGAGGGAATCCTTTTCCCCTCCCATTCAATCCCCGTATGCACGAGTGTAACTCAACAACGCGGGGGAGGGGATCGACATCCCCTACAACGGAGTAGGGGTTCGATGGTGCGGGTCATGCCAGAGAAGCGACTAATCTGGTTTCAATCAGTTATTACAAAGCATTTCGTTCAAATTGATGAAAGATTTTCCATGGTAGCCGAGTTCCTCTCTCAGCGGCCTGTAGCTTGCAATTTTGTCTCTCTCTTCTATATTCGCTTCTCGTGAAGAAACCCGGGCATATATTTGCCAGTTTCGAATATCTGTAGGAGTTTCTAAACATTCTCGAGATTTGCGCATTTTTTATATGACATGCTAGTTATATCCATGAAGACTGGTACAACACATTGTAACTATCATATTATATGATTTGATGTCTTTATTTTGTTATCCTAACGTAAGCTGCTATGAAAAAAAATAAAAATTAGCATAATTGCCCATTTCTGAGTAGAGATCCCCGCGGGAGTGATCCCCTCCAAAGCGTTCCCCTCATGCATAGCAGGGATGGCCGCTGGGGATCATTCCCCTGAGGTAAAGAATGATATGTCGCTAATAGCTACAGCGTTCATGGAGAGCTGGCACGATTTGCAGCTTCTGTTATGCGTAGAAATGCTGGTTATTTCCCCCCTCCCCCTTTTTTCGGCAGCATAAAGTCTTCTACCCGTCCTCTGCAGAGAGATCCGACTTCTGTTGTTGAACATCTTTGCGCTAAAATGGACAGCATGAGCGAAAGTGAGCAGCATCATGACAACAGCAGAACTATATTAGGCCTAGAAAATATAATTTTTGGTGTGCCGAGCGCATTCACGGCAGATGCGCATTCCGCAACGCCTAAATCATTGCCGATGACGAAAGTTGAAGATAAGCAGTCGTCAAAAGATGAGAATACAAAAAAATCGCCATATGAAAGCGAAAGAAAAGTGATGTCCCCGCTCGATCCCCTTGTGCATAGGGGGGGGGGGGTTCCCTTCCCCTACTCCCGGAGATCCCTTCGCCGATATTGTCTGCTTGCCAACGAGGGTTCGCCTGGGGAGGGGAGGGGAGCCCCAGCCGGGATCATTTCAATAGTAAAACGCACATCCCCTCCCCGCGGGGATGTACGTGCATAAGGGTCTAAGTGGTATCTTTCCTGATATTTTTCCACAATTTAGCTGCTAGATAGTGAAAACATCCTGTATTGTTTGTTGCCTTGTGACTCAGGTGAGCATTACGGTCAGAACCAAAAATAAGTTCAAGTTCTTGCAAATCAGTTTTTGCAGGTTGAATTTCTCAATTAGCCTGCATGCTAGGATCTGAGGAAATCTGCAATCACTGCATCCGGACTCTCATACGTACAAGAATGTTATTACTCCAACTTTACGCTTACGAGAACATTGCAGAAAGAGTCTGAGGGCATAAATTCGAGCGCAGGCTGACGGTTAGGTCTATGTCGGGTGCGCTTTGAATATGAAAACTCAAACTTTTTTACTAGTTCTCACCTTGCTAAGCGTCTGTAAGAAAGATGGACCCTATCGCTTCCAATCCAGTCAAGAAACTGCGGAATAACCCATAAAAACACATTCTCTGGAACAAAATACCCATGAGAGTATTTTTGAGCGAAAAAAAAAGCAGGTAAGCGTTTCTTATAAAGATATGATACAGCTGGACTAAAGCAACTATTTTGACTTTTGATTATGTATATGCACAAAAGGCTTTGGAAACCGAGAATTACTTCAGCGGACAGAAACCTCTGGTGGAATTATAGTTTTGGCCAACCTTCAAGCCTGCTTTTTTCGAAATTTTTGATTTTTTTCTGAGTAATCGAACAAAAACGGGAATCGTTCTAGTTATGATGGTAGCCTGTTAAACACATAACTATACCAAATTTCAGATCACAGAGTTAAGAAGCAGATGAGCTACGGCAGTTTTCAGGGTGGACGTATAGTTTTGGCCAGCACTGTATTATGCAAAAATAACGAACCTTTTTTCATCCCTTTCTTCAAGACAACTTTTTCCCATTAAGACTTCATCTTTGGAGAAGAGCAGCATAATACTGAAAAACTGAGACTATTGAAGTGGGCTTCTGGCCTCATCCGTTAAAAAGTTACATGACTTCAAATAACCGCATCCAAAATCAGAAATTCATTGCGTTTACTTTTCCGCCTATTTTGAGCGCAAATAAACGGGCTCCTTCGAAAATATAGCTACTTTATTTACAAAAAATGCCTACATTACGCACACTAGACTATATTTTTAGAAATCATCTAAATCGAGATATCTGCGCTTCAGCATGGGTAGCCGTTGCTGTCATTTTGTGACCAATAAATTTCAATCAAAGAAGGCAATTGCCAAAGCTTTGCTCATTCTTGTAAGCGTAAGAGTAGGGCATCCTATTGGAGGTTTTTGCAAAAAATACAGCTGTTCAGTGCGCAGAAAATCAAGAAATTCGATAATTGGGGGCTCTGAGGCCTATTGAAGAAAGAAAAGATAATTTTAGATTTCAACTTTTTTCTTTTCGCAAATTTTCTTTGCCCAAGCCATTTTCATCTCCTTTTGTCCAACCGGCTTGGGGCTGCCTTATAGACAATGTATTATTGCTAACAAGCTTTGAAGGGAGTTGTGATTTGTCAAAAACAAGGTTTTGAAAAAACTTTCTATTTTTTGATCCATATTTTTTGTCCGTATAAGTGAGTGTACTCTGTATTGAAAAAGGTTTGCTGCTTCTGATGGCCTTTATCGTTTTCAGAAATGTAGAGTTTTACAGGAAGTTATAGCCAGGGTCCGGCACGAGTCGGTTTCTAGGGGCCGCATGCACTAACCTCCCCGCGGTGAGGGGATCGCAGCTTAAAAGAAAGCTTTATATTTCGAAATTCCAGATATCTGGATTTCACGTTGTGTACCTATCCGTAAGTATTCCTACTACCCTTTACTATGAACATGTTGAACAGGAGCGAGAAGCTGTACGAACCGCATTTTCCAGCTTTTGTATGATCCCTGATGATCCCCGGTGCTTTTCTTTAAAGTCATTTTTCTTACTCCGAAGTTAACGAAAACCTTCCAAAGTCGTACTGAACATCTGACACAACAGTGCTAAGCATGTTGCTGATGAGAACAAATGAGTTTTTAAAAAGTCGAATTTTCCGGCAAACCTCAAATTTCGACCTGTGGATCATCGAAAATTTCATGACTTCAAAACATCATTTGTTCTTATCAGCAAAATGCTTAGCACTGTCGGTTTAGATGTTCAGTACAACTTTAAAAGGTTTTCGTTAACATCGGAGAAAGAAAAATGATTTCAAAGAAAAGCGCCGGGGATCATCAGGGATCATACAAAAGCTGGAAAATGCGGTTCGTACAGCTTCTCGCTCCTGTTCAACATGTTCATAGTGAAGGGTAGTAGGAATACTTACGGATAGGTACACAACGTGAAATCCAGGTATCTGGAGTTTTGAAATATAAAGCTTTCTTTTAAGCTGCGATCCCCTCCCCGCGGGGAGGTTAGTGCATGCGGCCCTAGGGTTTCTGAAAACGAAGTCTCCCCTGACTTTTGGGGGTTTTACGAAGTCCCCTTTGACCTACCTGCTTAGGAGAAGATGAAAACAAAAAAGATTTACTAGCTTGAAGAAAAGACGTAAGATAAGAGTGAAAATCTAAGTTGGAGCTGTACTATGCATGCACAAGACTTTGGCATTAGAGCGCGATATTTAACAAAGCGAGAAGAAATGAAGGCAAAAAACAAAGGAAAGGCAATGATATGAAAATGTCTTCATGCTCAGGGATAGTTTTGACAGGGGAATCCGTCCATGCTAAAAAGATCCGAAACTTATGTGAAGTGGCGAAAATATATGCTCCAGACGATCTCAGATCGTCTGGTGGCCGTCTGGAGACAATCTAATTTTTGAAAAGTATTGCTTCACATAAGTTTTCAAATCTTTTCACATAATACTTTCGCAAATAATTTTCTACATATACAGTTCAATTTTGGTGTCATATGCTTCTGTGCGCGATGTAAACAAGCAATTTGTTTATTTAAGCCTTGCTTTCAAATCGCGCGCACTTTTCGCCATGCACGATAGAGCATGTCAGTCGTGTGATAACCTGTCCGAAAAGCTTGTGTTCGACTAAATGGCGCTTATTCTTGGTGCTCGGCTCCGACTCATCAAAAACGATATCCCCTTTGCTGTTTGTTTCAAAAACGAAGTCCAGCCTGCTTCCAGACGATGTGTGCCGGGCCCTGGTTATAGCACGTCAAAGTGAGAATTCGACAAACGGCTTCATTTTTGCGTCAGCTTGATATTTTCGATAATTCCGTCTCTTGCCTCTTGATTTCATGGTAACAGAGCAAAAGGGAAGAATTGATAATCGTAGAATTGATACAAAGCTTTTTCCGCTGCCCTGTTGAATCTTCCTTCAGGATGCGGAACGCGGATTGAACAAAGCTGTGATTCACACGCTATGTTAGAAGACTAGAAAAATTAAAGGCGTTTTCCAAAGAATTCAAGAGATTTATACATGTAAAGCTCATCAGACATGCTATTGTCGAATATTTCAGTATTAGAGCGTATTAAAGGCGGCTCAAGATGAATAAGCAATAAAAAACTCAAATTCCAAAAGCATCAGGATACAAAGCTTTTTCCGCTGCTCCCCTCCCTCATACGTGCATGAGAGTCTGAGTCGGCGTAGCCACTAGCCTAGATAAGACAGAGAACTTAGTCGAAAATTTGCCGAGACACTACCTTCAAAAAAGAAACATTTCTTTGCTAAATGCACATACCACATAGAATAATGCAGGAGGTACTGCAAGTCACGGAAAGATCAACAGACTTCGATGACGCGCAAATCGATAAACTTCTCATGAAAGTAAGTCAAAAATCTGTTTATCTAGTGGTTACTTTCGGAATGTCACGTTAAAATGGTTTATATTAGTTTAGTCTATATTACGAAGCCATCGCCTAGGTATCTGGGAAGTATAGGCTGCTGCAAGACGAAGGCGCAATATCTTCAGGCGCGAACGCAGCTTTATTAGCCGCAGAGCGCATGAGGCGCAAGATTTACAACGGTGAAAATACGCGCGCGACGCGTCCGCGCCCGCTCAACAAATGCTGCCTCTGCACCTTCGTCATGCAGTAGCCTTCCATTCCCCGCTTCCACGTATCGAAAAAAACCTACTGTTCCAATTTCAATATTTGCCAGTAATGATAAATCCTCAACTTTGCCGTCAAGAGCCGCTTGCTTTCTTTGTAGAAGCTATTCCTGAAGACGAGCTATTACCTAATTACTCTGAATATAGGCAATAAAAGAAAAAAGAAAGAATGCAAACACGTCAGAAGAAGCCGCGTTACACGACCTATTCGCTAGTATATTAAAGGAAGTGGCTTTGAAGCAAAAGCAGTACGTCCACTTTCTCATAAATTACCGTCGAATGACTTGTTGCAAAAACATGTCGGATTTTGTTTGGATCTATCGAAAAGTTATGAAACACTTAACTGTATGAGTGGAGAGAATGGAGGAGAAAAAAATGGCAAACTGTTTAGCTCCGGGAAAAAGTATTTAGTCAAATCGAACGGTACATAACAGGTTTAGCATGCGACCGCAGCGAATTCATGCTCGTTTATTAGAAGAACCAAAATCAAAATTCAATCCGTTAACGGTAGCATAAATTTCTTGAAGGCTACTGCGTGACGAAGGCGCAGAAATAGTATTAGTTGAGCGGGCGCGAATGCGGCGAGCACGCATCCTCACCGTTGCAAATCCTGGGGGCCTCATGCGCTCTGCGGCTAATAAAACCGCGATCGAGCCCAAAGGTATTGCGTCATGCACCAGCCTTTAGTTAATTTCAGATACTTAGATAGCCCGTCTCCACGTGGCGTGCGGGTGCACAGAAGTTTTCAGTGGTGACTGTATCCAGCTGTTTTGTCAGCTGGTCCATCCATTCCACGAACACGAACACGTCTGCCCATTTCGTTGGAGGTGTTCCTCGGGGACGTGCTTCAAGAAAAATCCACTCCTATATTCTTAGTGTCCATCAGTCGTCTGTTCTTCTTATGGCGTGACCGGCCCATCGATTCGCTTTCGCAACGTAATATAGGGTCACGAAGACGGGGGCATAGCTGTATCGTTGTTGTACATTCCTTCCAGCAGTCGGCTAATGTCCTCACTTGAGATAGATCCACCCTTGATCAACTGGCGCTCACAGGATGGTGTTGATGTCACCAAAGGCTTTCTCGCAGTCGACGGAGGTTAGGACGAAAGGCATCGGTACTCCCGGCAGTGGCGGTAGCAAAATTATGGCAAATTGGATTCTGTGCTTGTATCATCACATAGGCGTTTACCGCAGCGATAGTTTGAAGTTAAGCCGGATTCCAGTGACATGCCCAAAAGCGATTGTTTTCATTACAATATTTCATGATTTCATGAAGTTACTTGTTCAAAATTTTAGGACTTGGATCAAAGCTCTTCACGACCCACGGTGGATTCTACAGTATGAAATGCATCTAAGCTTTGATTGTACCGATTGGAGCGTTCCCGAATGCCTTTCTTCATGTGTAAAATTCCATCAGGTTCCACTGTAAGTTCGCTAAGAGCGAAGGACCCAACGGTGGTGGAGGACTACATGTCGCCGAAAGGGTGATTCCAAGCGGACATCTGCAACGGACTTAGCCATACATATGACAGGCATTGCAGATTTGTACCAGTTGTCCGCGCGGAGTGGAGCTCTATCGGCGACTGCAATCAACATAAATTAGCATGGCGGGAATCCGCGTCGCCGGTGTTTTGCGTCCCATCTACACGCGACGTGCTAGTCTGCTCTCTCTTCACATTCTTCGCTCTCTCCGACAGTGCGCGTATGCAGCGCGAGTCCTTGGAACTGCGAGCGCGCAAATCTAAGCCAACCTTTCAGCTTGATCTTGATTGGGACAGATTGTAGTTCCCTTCCCATCTAGCGGTGAGTCGTGGTTGAAACGACGGCACAGATACTGCCTCTCTATGTCGTATCGTCGCGAATGTGTTGATCTTCAGCGCATTGGACGTTCCCATATTAGCCGAAATAGAAATGAATAGTCATAGAACGCTAAAATCGAATCCTGGCTTGGAACTACTGTTAAACCAATGTTTCAGGGCCAAGATGACGACTCGACAATGAGCGATGATTAATGATCAGTTCAAAAATCATCAACGACTTATTCTTGTCCATATCAAATTACTTCAGCAACCTAGAGACGTTACATAAAGAATTTACTTTTGAATCAAGTTCGAGTCAGATACAGATTATTATGTGTGCGCACCATGGCTAATTCTATGTATCCTTAAGCAAAATATTGAAACACCAGAAGTGTTTCATCGTTTTTTGAGCTCTTGTGCCATATTTTACGAGTGTTATTGCTGATGTGCGTTGCTATAATAAGGGAAATCTTCCAGTTTTCGTGGTATCAGCAGGGGGAGACGGTCAAGAAGCGCGAGTTTTCTGGCTGTCACCAACTTAAAACTCCAGTTTCGTGCTATGGAAGTGTTCAAAAAGGGTTAGACTGTGTTGGCTGACGTACGTTGACGTAGCCTTAGGCGTAGTTGTGCCTTGGTAGGGATATCTGCAGGTGTGGACAATGCACTAGCCTGGCAGATTTATTGAGTCAGACGACTTGTCCGCATTGGGACAGTGGTAGAATGCTGACGATTAAAGGCGTGGCCAAGTAACATAACAAACATCTGGGCTATAAACACACTCATATCACACCAGGTCATGCTTATGGCATGACCTTTACGGTAATCTGGCGAAAGAGTGATAGGCTACAAAGAGAGGTGCCGATTATATCGGCACACTGCGGCCGGCCATGTATGAAGCAGAAGAGGGAAGAAGAAGAGGACATAGAAACACATCAAATAATCTACTCCATTTCGCACTTTCTTCTTTTTTTCTGGATAGAGCAGTGGTCGTTGTTGAGTGGCGCGTACAGTAACTGTCTTGAGATCCGCGAAGTGTGAGCGGACGAGGCGACGAGAGAAGGCAGATGGTTGGAATAACCAGATGATGAAATTCTTGTGATTAGTATACTCAACACAATAGGATGATAAGGAACTGGGCTTAGAGATATCGTCAATGTGCATAGCAGTCTTGTAGAAACGGAACGGGAATTTGCTCATCATTGGAGAAGGCTGTATTTGCTTCTCCTGTTACTGGAAGTGCCATGACCTGCAGAGATGCCACAGCGTTGACGAGAAAGGTTGCGTCCGTGGATTGATCATCGTTGTCATCGACTATCTGCAGCTCAGTTTTTGGTGACGCTTTAATTGTCGCACAGCTGAGGCCACCCTCATCGCTCATCAATAATTGAGATGTCCGCTGTAGCAGATAAAATGTTCTTTTTTGTCGTAAGCAGGTGAGCTATCTGTGGCAGAGAATTTCTTAGCGGACAAGGACACGTTATAATTATCTTCTTTGGTGTCTGGTTCCAAAAAGGTATGCTCGTCTCTGTAACGATTTTTTACGTTCTAGTCTGGACAGTTCTATCTTTGCCTTTGACTCACAATCTTCTAGTGTGTAAATAAGCATTTGGGCACCATTAGTGATTTGACTTATCTCTCTGTTGAGCGAATCCAAATCTTTTACCAACAGCTACCTCTTATATTTGCACTTCTCGCTTTTGTACAGCTTCTTGAGCAAGTCGGTCTTCAATCGTGCCAATTGAGAGCCCAGGATGATGTCGAAGATGCAGTTTGGTAGTACGTGCAGTTTGTCAACGCATACTTTTTGTCGCTCCTGTTCATCGTCTGGAAATAACGTTTTCTCACCATAGCTCGCGTACTTTCGTAGTAGTTTTTCGAGTCTTTTGGCGTGTATTCTCACATCCTCCATATGGTGATGCAAAGTCGGAATTCCATTGTGGCTTCTGTCTTGTCCTTGGAAGCGGAGCATGGTATCGGTCTTGTTTAGCCGATGCACCAAAAATGTGTTGGCTGACGTACGTTGACGTAGCCTTAGGCGTAGTTGTCACCTTGGTAGGGATATCTGCAGGTGTGGACAATGCACTAGCCTAGCAGATTTATTGAGTCAGACGACTTGTCCGCATTGGGACAGCGGTAGAATGCTGACGATTAGAGGCGTGGCTAAGTAACATAACAAACATCTGGGCTATAAACACACTCATATCACACCAGGTCATGCTTATGGCATGACCTTTACGGTAATCTGGCGAAAGAGTGATAGGCTACAAAGAGAGGTGCCGATTATATCGGCACACAGACTAAGTCCGTTGGCTTACTGGCTACTTGAATTAAACCGCTTGATAAGTCGGTCGACTTTTGCTAGAAAACTGACCGAAATATTACAAAAATGTTAACTGCATTTCCATGGATTTTGGACCTTTAGTGATTTTGTTGGGAATCGATTTCAAGGATAAGGTCGTATGTCGAGACGCAGACTAATTAGTCCGACAGTTCCCACGCCAACTGGGCGGTGCCGAGCAACTCAGGGGTGGTATGCAACAATCGCCCGTCCGGGTAAGTTACCCGGACAGGTAGTTTCCGCTTCATAGCTCGGTGCTCTGAGAACCTGTGTTCTTCCTTGTTTGTTCATCTATTGTGAGCTCTACTAATCTAATTTTGTAGCACAATGACTAGCAGCACTTTGCTGTATAAGCTGAGATAATTCGTTATTTGTATGATCCCGAACGGGATCTCCCACTGATCACGCTCATTTTCAAAGTTATTTATATCCGCAAAAACTCAATGAAGACGTCACAGAGTTTTGCTGTCGACCTATTACGACATGCTAGGCATGTTTTTAGTAGCACAGATGAAGTGTGCAAGTTTTGAGTTTTTCGATAGAGCCCAATTCGCGAGCACCGGTTCAGCGAAAGATTTTGTCAACTTGATTTTTCACTTATTTCTTTCACAAACATGCGTAGCACTGTCGTAATAAATGTACAGCAAAACTCTGTGACGTTTTCATTGAGTTTTTGCGGATATAAATAACTGTGAAAATGAGCTTGATCAGTGGGAAATACCGTTCGGGATCATACAAATAACGAATCATCTCAGCTTATACAGCACAGTGCTGCTAATCATTGTGCTACAATATTAGGGTAGTAGAGCCTCCAATAGATGAACAAACAAGGAAAGACACAGATTCCCAGAGCACCGAGCTATGAAGCGGAAACTACCTGTCCGGGTAACTTACCCGGACGGGCGATTGTTGCATACCGCCCCAGATGAGCTGTGCCTAACCGGGTGACCGGCAGTTTCCCTTCCCCTCTCTTTCTATTTATAAATATATAATAAACATTCTAGTCATAATGTCGTGTTCATATAAAGTAAAACAATCAGGGTGAAGAATTCAAGTCAAGAGAGTGCACCTCTTGGACTTGACATGGAGGTCCCGGGTTGTTTTCTTTTTATGACTCACATTTTTTAATCAATTTTTCGAGAATTTTTTTTCTGAATCAACAATTTTTGAATTTAATCAGCATAGATTTTGGCCAAATCTTTTGCAAACTCCCACCGCCGGCACCAGCCCTCATCTCCTACGTTTCTACGTAGTTTTTTTCTTTTTTATTCATTTTTTTCTCATTTTCTGCTTATTTTTTTGAGTCAGGCGATGAGTCTGAGTTTTGTATTACTTGCTATTCTTACCGTAAAATAATATTTTCTACTAGCTGGCTTACCCGGCTCCGCCGTATCCGGACCAAACTTGGCACACATACACTTCGGGCCCCGGCGGGTGTCACAGTCCACTTTTCGTTATCGATCGATGTCGATTTTACCGATTTTTATCGATTTTTTTGCAGAGTTCACCTACAGGGCTAGGAGTTGGCACAGGGGGGAAGTGAGCATGGGGATTCCGAATACAATATTAGTTTTCAGAATTATCGATTACTTTTATTGATTTTATCGATTTTTTGTAAATTTTGACATGCGAGGCTGGGATTTTGCACAGGGGGGTAATCGAGCATGCTGATTACGAACACAATATTAGTTTTCAGGATCGTCCATTACTTTTATCGATTTTATCGATTTTTTTGTAAAGTTTGACCTGCGGGGCTGGGAGTTTGCACAGGGGTAATCGAGTATGCAGATTACGAATACAATATTAGTTTTCAAGATCGTCCATTACTTTTATCGATTTTATCGATTTTTTGAAAATTTGAGCTAGGGGGCTGGAATTTGGCGCAGGGGTGTAATCGAGCATGCTGATCACCCCCCTTGGCGATGATCAGCATGCTCGATTACCCCCCCCCTGTGCCAACTCCCAGCCCCCTAGCTCAAACTTTGCAAAAAAATCGATAAAATCGATAAAAGTAATCGATAATCCTGAAAACCAATATTGTATTCGGAATCCCCATGCTCGATTACCCCCCCCCCCTGTGCCAACTCCCAGCCCCGTAGGTGAACTCAGCAAAAAAATCGATAAAAATCGATAAAATCGATATCGATCGATAACGAAAAGTAGCCTATGACACCCGCCGGGGCCCGAAGTGTATGTGTGCCAAGTTTGGTCCGGATCGGTTCAGAGATGGAATTTTCTATTCGGAACATACGTACACACATACATACAGACAGACAGACAGACATACAAACAGACATTCAGCTTTATATATAAGATTTTATTTTCTACCTAACGATATTTTATCTATTTTTTCTCTTCCTTAATTCCGCGAGCCGTGATCACCGAGCCGTGAATAGCAAACCGTGAATTTTCGACGCTCTCTCTCTAGATCGATTTAACTCTCTAGATTGAGATTCCCGAGCCGTGAATTCCGCGAGCCGTGATATCCCGGAGCCGTGATTCCGCGAGTCGTGAACAATTGTTTTTTTTCATTCAATCGGTGTTATTTCTTCCATTAGGAACCCCCATATTTTCCACTAACGTTGCCCGCAAGGGCTAGGGTAAAATTTTGAATGACTGAAAGGCTTCTCCGAGTCGCCCATCGGAGAAATATTTCTTGTTATAGTGCAGACGCTTGCGGCAAACTTACTCTGTGCCAGTAGCCGCTGCGTAAATGAAGTTAATGAGAAGTTTGCTACTGGCTCTCAAAACATCCTGTCTTTTCAGACGCTCTGAACATCTGACGGCAGAAAGCAATAATACAAAGGTGAACAGTATAATGGGGCTTATAGTTTCTGTTCTCACATGCTCTGAACATGTGAGTGTAGACTAAAACTCAAACAGAAATTTGGTTAAAATACAATGGTGAACACTTGACTGGGAACAATTATGACATGCAGAAGAAACA